TATAGTCCCAGCTTCTTGGGAGGCTGAGGCAGGAGGATTGCTTGAGTGAAGGAGGTCAAGATTATAGTGAGCTATGATCCAGCCACTGCACTCCAGCCCGGGCGACAGGGAAGACTCTGTCTCAAAAAATTAAATGAATAAAAAATAGAAATCTACTGATACATGGAAAGAACACAATTTCACAGATTTTATGTTGAGTATGTAGAGTGAAAAAAATCATATATGAAAGCTGCATAGTATATGATCCAATTTATATGAAGTTCTAGAACAGGCAAGACTAATCTGTGGTACAAAATAATTCAGAGCACTAGTTGCCTCTAGGGCTAGGAGACATGACTGGAAAGGAGCATGAGGAAATTTTTTTGGGTGATGAAAATCTTCTAAATCTTGACTACAGGGTTGTAACAGTTATGATGCATTTGTCAAAATTCATTGAATTGTACACTTAAGAATTGCACATTTCATGATTTATAAAGTCTACCTCAACAAGAAAAAACAGAACTTCAAACAAACATTGAATTCTAATTAGTAGGCTTACTTTATACAATGGTGTGGTTTATCAGTTATAAAACTACTTCCTGTGTTTTCTTGTGTATGAACAAATGTATAAATATATTGAGTATAACGGGAACCTGGCTCACTCTTGAAAATATATGTCTCTGCTGAGAGGGACTAAAGCAATGACACATAGTAGCAATAAAAACAACTTGTAATCAGATCTTGGTTTCTCAGTATCATTCTCCACTAAAAGAACCAGGACCCCATGGAGAAATGACTGATTCTAGATTAAGAAAAGTACAAGATTTTTTTAATTTTTTTTTCTTTTTTTTTTTTTTTGAGACAGAGTCTCACTTTGTTGCCCGGCCTAGAGTGCCGTGGCATCAGCCTAGCTCACAGCAACCTCAAACTCCTGGGCTCAAGCGATCCTCCTGCCTCAGCCTCCCGAGTAGCTGGGACTACAGGCATGCGCCACCATGCCCGGCTAATTTTTTCTCTATCTATATATTTTTAGTTGTCCAGATCATTTCTTTCTATTTTTTAGTAGAGACGGGGTCTCGCTCTTGCTCAGGCTGGTCTCGAACTCCTGACCTTGAGCGATCCACCCGCCTCAGCCTCCCAGAGTGCTAGGATTACAGGCATGAGCCACCGTGCCGGCCTAAGATTTTTTGTTTTAATTTCTATTTTTTATTTTTATTTCATATATTTGAGGTATACAACATGATGTTTTGATATATATATACACACATATATATACACAGTGAAGTGGTTACCACAATCAAGCAAGTTGTTAATAATACATCCATCACCTTATGTAGTTTTCTTTTTTTTTTTTTGGTGGCAAGAGTACCTAAAATCCACTCTCTTGGCAAATTACCAGTATATAATACAGTTTTATTAACTACAGTCCTCATGTTGTTCATGCTAGATAGACTCTTTCATCCTACATAACCGCAACTTTGTGCCCTTTAACCTACATCTTCCCATTTCCCCCACCCCCACCCCAATACTCTTCTGTGTATCTGATTTTTTTTTTAAGAGTCCACATTCAACTGAGATCATGCAGTATTTTTCTTTCCCTCTGGCTTATTTCACTCAGCATAATGTTCTCTAGCTTCATCCATGTTGAAAAGTACAAGATAAACATGGTGTTATAAACACTTACGTGTCTAAAAGTAAAGAATTCCTCAAAAAAGGATGGGGACATGTCAAAAGGATAAAGGAGCTACCATTTAAAAGGTTCAAACTGGCTGTTCAACAGTGGCCCACATTCTCCAGCAATTTCTCTGCCTCGTTGTTGGGGTGGGCTGTGTGTTCCTGTGGCCGGAACCGCACCCTCTCCTCAGTCTGAATCTCTAACCTTGTGGTTGGGGAAGGGGAGCATTTCCTTTAAGTTAAGCATTTCCTTATTAACTCTTCTTCAGCCCTAGAGGTAACAGCTGCTTTTTGTAGTTGTTGCTTCTATATAAGACAATCCTCTCTTACCCCTTTTAATATATGATCATATCTTACTAGAAAATAATTCTTTACATTTTTCCTGTAAAAATCACTTGTATGATCTTCTCACTGGACCCTAACTGATACCAGAACATATCACTTCTCTTGTATTCCTATCAAAAAAAATGCGTATCTAAATATAATCATGAGAAAATGTCAGACAAACCCAAAACAAGAGACATTCTACAAAATATGTGGATTGTATTCATCAAAATTTCCAAGGTCAAAGAAGATAAATGACAACTAATTGCAACACATGACTCTGGTTTGGCTCCTTTGGTTGGGAAATGGGAAGTAATTTTATAAGCATTTATTAGGACGATTGATGAAATTCTGAATATGGACTATGGATTAGATAATAATATTGTATCAGTGTTACAATTCCTAATTTTAATAATTATACTGTGTTAATGTAAGAGAATGTCCTTGTTCCTAAGAAATACACACTGATGTATTTAGTGGTAATGGGGAACTTACTCTCAAATTATTCAAAATAAACTAATGTTGGGGGTGAGGATAAATCTAGGTAGACTGTGTACAAAGAGTTCTTTGTACTAGTCTTGCATCTTTTCTATAAATATTACATTATTAAAATTGCAAGTTACCAAAAACAAAAAATATATTTAGTCCTTGAAATATATAAAACATGATCATTTTGAAAGGTGTCAATAAAAATTCAAAATTGAAATCTGGTTCAAGATAACAATTTGAACACATGCATAACAGGACTGAGAAACTACCAAAAAAATTTCAAAAGATCCCTAAGCAGGTCAGAAACTGTGAACAGGTAGGATGTGTTTGATAGTGAAACCAGATCAAAATCTGTTACCCCAAAGGTCATACACAAGAAAGGTACAGAGAGGTTATTGTGGGGAATGTGCTTGTTAATGATGAAGCTAGAAAGACGTAGGCCAGTTACGAAAAAAGAACTGCTAATTTCAACTTTTGCCCCTGGCAAGAACCTTGAGCTCAGTACTCTGGGAGTTCTACCACAGAGAGCACTCAGTGGGCACTGAGGCCTGAGAAGCATGGAAGTGACCTAGGATGTTTGCAACTGGTTGTAAAGGGAACTAATCCCTGTTTCCACCTTCACAGAAGACAAGTTATTCAATCTACTTAATTGCAAGTTTTGGCCATTTCTCACTTCCAATATGCACATTCTCTTCCCTCAAGCCCAATTCTACTCTAGGCAATGACCAAGAGGCAAGATTTCTGAAATTAAAACTTCAATTCGGAGGGCAACATACGTAACCTAAACATCTGTACCCCCATAATATGCTGAAATAAAAAAAAACTATGAAACATAAAAAATAAAAAAACTTCAATTCCCCTAAATTTGAATTCATTTATTGGTGAATTCCATTCTACAATGTAACCTCATTGTAACAGGAATTTTTGTTCTCTGCTGTATCCCCAAGACCTACAACTCTGACACATAGTAATTGCTCAGTAAATATTTGCTGAATTGATTGAAAAAAGGAAATAACTTCAATGCCCAACATTAGTAGCACTGGCTAAGTAGCAAACCATAAAGGTAAATATTATGCAACTATTAAATAGTTTATTTGTAAAGGTAATGATATGGAGAAATATTTGATGTATTAATTTTTTGAAAAAAGGAAACTGTATATTCATGAAGGAAATATACAACCTCCTGTTGTATACATGACTTTTGCTGTTCCGTATTATCAACGATTACTTTTATTATCAGGAAGAAAATTATCTTTTAATTAATTTATTTTTTCTGGAGGAAACATGGAACACCCAACTCATATGATTACTAGCTAGCCTCAATTGAATGTACCAATTCATAAACAAATGCAGAATGACATACAATAGGTATAGTGTGGTGCTTTGAAAGCATGGATTCTGGAGACTATATACCTAAATTTGAATACTAGCTCCATAACTTAATAGCCCTGGGACCCAAAGTAATTTAACCTCTGCTTTAATATACTCATCTGTAAAACTGGGATAGGATACTTCCTCATAAGGTTGGCATAAAGTGAATTTATACTCGTTTAAAGCACTTAAAAAAGTGTCGGGCACCACAGAGATACCCAGTTGTTAGGTTTTATTATTATTAGATTGAAAACACTGTACTAGCTCTCATGAGGAGAGAGAAATAAATCAAAATTCAGTCCCCATCCGCGCAGAGCGAGAAAAGCACACATAAAAGCAACGTAGGAGTCAAAGCAGAATGAAAACAAGCTAAAGCCAGGTACAAGCAACAAGCGGGCATTCAGAGGAACGAATGATTAATTCTGAACAGGGTGAATCTAAGAAGTTATAGGAGCAACGGTATTTGAACAGAGTTCTAAGAACGAGTAGGGCTCCAACAGGTGCTAATAAGACATAAGGAAACCACAAACGATCTTAGCAAAGGCACGAAGACTAAAATTGTTGCCCGTTCCCCAGAACGCCAGAAATGCTGACAGGGTGGAAGGAGCAGGGGATGCAAAAAAAACCTCTAGCGAACAGAGATGGCTGCAGAGCACGTTTATCAAACAGTGCTACCAGATGGGAAGGAAAGTTAAAGATAACAGTAACAACAGCAATAATAATTCACCCCGAGAAACACTGAACAAAAATGTAGGTCAGAAAGCCAGAACGCACACGACCCCATCGTTCCACTACGACCCTCCAGATGCCAACATCGGGACAAGACTCGGAGGCGGGACACGGCGGAACAGCGCCTCTCGCAGGCGGCGCACCGTCTGGAGAAGCGGCGGAAGGGAGCCGCTCTCCACAACTTCCGCTTCCGCCGACCTCCCTCCCGTACCCTCTTTAAGAGGACCTACCATGGAGCAGGACTGGCGCGTGACTACGCGTTGCCCGGGTGCGCGAGCCGAGAGGCCCCGGAGGCGGGACCTTGGGACCGCATTGGTAGAAAGGCGACCAGAAAAGGCGAAACTAAACTTAACAGTCTCGATAGTGATTGGATTTGCTGTAACAAGGGCAGAGCTAAACCTCCTAAGATCCTGGCCAATCAGCGTTTAGGATTGTCAGGGAAACCGGGAAGGGAAAGGGGCGAGATGGTTCTGTGGTCACATGCCGAGGGGGCTAGTGGGAGGAGCAGTGGCCCAGCGGCCTGTTGGCGCTTCCTGTTTCCGGTTCCCGGAGTGGAGCACAGCGAGGCGCAAGGGGGAACGCTGGCCGCTGACACGAGCTCTGGGACCGGGGTCTGCGGCTGGCCCCTCGCTGGCCCCGTCTCCCAGCCCCAGACAGATATTCCCCGGGGGATTCTGAGCTTTGGCTACTCCATTTGCTTGCGCCACGTGAGTGTGAGGGGCGTGGAGGAGGCGGGCTGGGCTGCTCTCACACCTCGGCATCTGTGACAGGAGCCGAAATTACTAAATCTCGCTTAGCCCTGGTTCTAGCCAGGGATCGGGCTAAGAAGCGCTAGGGAAGAATGGAGGCGGAGGCGTGAGGGCGAGGAGTTACGGAGTCCCGAAAGGAGTGAGGGAGAAAGGACTTCCAAGACCAGAAAGGGAGTTTACGATATTTGGAAGACAGGGAAAGGAAGATCCCCGGGTATGGAGTCCGTTTGAGGTTTTACTGGATTTGCTTGTAAAAAGAACTTTGGCCTGCATCACGGAGGGAGGTAAAGTGGCATCGTTTGGAGAAGGTATGGATATAAGCAGTTGGAAAGTCAGGACACTACACAGAGCGAGGTTTTCTAGAACCCTGGAAGAGGTTTGAGGGGAATGCGAGTATTGTGTGACGAAGAGTGGCTAATAGAGGAATTATTTTGTGTTCCTTGTTGTAGGGAGCTTCCGCTCTTGGGACATAGAGCTACTTCTCTGAGACTACTTCTCTCTTGAGTTTTTTCAGCGTTGGGCCTTTTAGCCAATTGGGGCTGCTCTTCTAAAAGTGTAGGCTGCTGGAGAAAAGAATGTGGGCTCCTACATCAGAAATGAGCCAGTGGGAAGAAAGTGGAGATTCCACTGAAAAATGGAAAATGACCATGACTCTAGTCTTGAGTCTTGATGGGGAAGTGAGTGCTACAGAGGCCCAGTGGTGTAAGTTGCTTCCCAATTCCTGGCTTAGTCAGTGGCCATCCCAGTAAATGAGAATTTTTTAGCATTGGCAAATGGAGCTGTCGTTATAGAATAAGAAAATTGAAGGGGATTTTTCAGGATCATAAAATCCTCCTTTCCGAAGCATCTAGACAAACTTTTGTACCTTGAGAATCTAATTGTAGCATATTAAAAGAGACTACCCAGCCCTTGCATTTCATACTCTTCCTGATTGTTGCACCTTGTTTATCAGAAGCTTTATAGCAAATATATTTATGCCATGAATCGTCCAAGTTGCCCCACTAACTTCACATATGTTTAATATTTGTATAATCTAGGGCAAGTAACTTAACGAGTAACTCTATAAGCATCAATTTCCTCATCTTTAAAATGGGAAAAACTATACCTCACTTTTCTGAGTTGTGAAGATTAACAGACATAATCTAGGTAAAGCATCCAGAGCATATGCCACTGAATCAAAGAGAAGCAGCTTAAATTTATAGCCACACCTTAAGTAGGAAAGACAGAAGAATATGGTATAAATTTATTCTCATCCTAACTTTTCAAATAAGTAAATGAAAGATAGTTTGACGCAGCTAACTGGCTGCAAGGTGTTTAACCCTTCATCCCTTCCCAATTTTGTGAGATTCTTTGGTCTAGTTTAGGAAAAGAAATCATCAACTGTTAACAGATAAGGAACTAACACTGAGACCAAAGAGCACAGCCTTCTATGTGAGCATCCCTCCAGAAAACTAGTCCTGGAAAAAAAAGATCTTGAGAGCCCAGAATGTTGACATTTTAAGTTAGATCCTGAGAGACTATAAAGAAAATGGCATGCTAAATCAGTCTAACAAAAGGAGCGTCCTATTTCTGTTTCTATTTCCTAATTCACTAATAAGCTGGTCAACTTGTGTGTTGGGCAATGGGATAATTTAGGGAAAGTGGGAATTTGAAGTCTGAGTTCTTTATTTCACCTCCTATTCAGTGAACTGTGTGGGGAGTCACTTCCTTTTTGCTTGTCAAAAAAAAAAAAAAAAAAAACCACAGCTTTGGCTGCCTGCTCTCATCCCCCAAAAATTATAATGAAAGAAGATAGATACGTAGTGGTTAAGTGTTGGCCATGAGCTCTGGAGCCAGACTTTCTCACTCACTCCACTAGCTGTGTCTCAGTTTTCTTATCTGTAGGGTTATGGGGTCAATTAGTTAATACATGTTAAGGGCTTCAAACAGTGCTTGGCCAAAGGCAAGCACTATGTTAACTATTTCCTACTGTTGTGGTTTTGGTGCTATAAATACGTTGTGGGAGCCTTGGACCTCTTGGCTGGCTATGATTATTCTGTGGAAATTCCTTAATATTACTGTAGTGAATTGGTGTTTGTGGTACACAAAGTCAGGCAGACAACTTCCCAAGCATTTGTTGGCCTAGTGGAGTGTGGGAAATAGAAGGTCGAATGTAAGTTTGTTTAGGGGAGTAGAGAAAGTACATTCAGGATTAGGGTTAGAGCTTCCATTTTCCCATCTTTGTATTCATTAGGTACCCATTCTCCATTCTGCTTAGTTCAAGTTTTATGTTCTAAAAATGCAATGGAGGCAGTGGACCAGCATGAAAAAGAAATAGAGGACTTCAGAGAATATTCAAAACAAAGTCCAGACTTGTGGTGTTTTATTATCATGTAAGTGAGAAAAGTTTAGAAGAGTTAAATCTTTATATTAGGAAAATTAGTGATACTGTTACGGAATAAACAAGTAGCAATGGCCTGAGGGATTATTAACGGATACCAGAATGAAGTCTTTCAAAAGGGTAAGTAAGTGTGTCTTGGGTATGAAGATGGATTAAAAAAAATAAAAGTTTGAGAGACAAAGCAGTGTGTTTCCATTCCTGTAGCAGTACAAGCAGCAGGTGACTTGGATTTACTAAATTGTAAAGTGGCTTGGTGATTCCCAAGGGTTGTCAATCAATTTGGTGTGTGGAAAGACAACTGTACTTACTGAATATCTAGAAACCCTTGACATTTGTGAGCTATAGAAGCTGAGGTGGGTTTTGGGAGACTTCTTCACACCACTCATTTTGGCCTAGTGAAATATCTTCTTCCTATAACGTAAATAATTGAATAATTTTTCAGAGAAGATGAAACAGTGAAGTAGATAAATGTCAGCTTTTAGGTGCAGTGGCTGTTTCCCTCTAAAAGAATTCAGCATTCTTGTAGTGAATATTAACAAAGGTGTTACCGAATATTGATATGAAAAGTTACGCCTCAAAGTATTCAAGTTTCTTTCTCTAAGTTTCTTAATAACTTCCAACTAGGCCTTATCAGGTGTCTTTTTAAATTGTAATTTAGGACAGGCCACTGGTTTAAGCTGTATTTGTGAACTTGTATTAAACTTTAAATATTGAGATATCTCCATCTAACTTTTCACCAAACAGTAAAGAGGCAAGGATGGCTCCACCTAGGCTATCATAATTAATTTTTTTTTTTTTTTGGTTCTTTCCCTCTTTTTTCACCCCTATAGTTCGTTCTGAAGGAGTCACCTATAAATTAGACTAAAAACAATATATAAATGAGTTTCCTGCTACAGGTGCTCATGTCACAGCGATATTAAAATGTACCATTTGTTGCGTATGACAAAGAATCTTGTACTTTCTGCCCAATCAAAATACCATTCATTTATTACGCATTCATATGCTTTATCTCTTTCCCTTTTCTCCTGATCCTACCTGCCCTCCCCAACACCCAAAAGGATGTTCCCCTTCCACAGCTGCTGGAGGATTGGACTCCTACTGCTGCTACTTCTGGCTGTGGCAGTGAGAGAGTCTTGGCAGACAGAAGAAAAAACTTGCGACCTGGTAGGAGAAAAGGGTAAAGAATCAGAGAAAGAGTTGGCTCTAGTGAAGAGGCTTAAACCGCTGTTTAACAAAAGGTAAACGAGAAAAACCTTAAAGGGCTTGAGAAAATATTTGTATAAACAATCTTTTCCTCTTAGTGATTTTATTGCAGTATTACTATGGAGGAATACATATATAATAAGCCTCTCTGGGAGAGAGTTCTAATCTGAACTTCAGCAATATTGATCTTACTTGGCCATGATACTTTGCTCTCTTTTATAATACAGAGCAAATTCTTAGCCCAGTCTTTATAATAGTCGCAGTGTACGGTTTTCTTGTCTTTCACAGAAGAGTAGCTGTTTCCAAGACTGAATCCAAGAGACCAGCTTGTAGAAATTCAAGCATTTTTTGATACCTGCATATAATAGGATATTAGAAGTATCAGTTAAACATATTTAAGCCTATACATGTCATCGTACGTGTCAAGAATCTTCAGATACATAAATCTGAAGGTGATCCTTAAGAAACAAGGGAGTATCCCATGAACGTGGACCCTTATTCATGGGGACATAGTAGCTAACACTTTAGTGTAGCTGAGAATGAGCATTCTAAAAATACCTAGCTGTCTTGGGTAGTGAATTTTAATCAATCATTGTCAACAATAAGAATGTCTAGATCATGAATATCTCATAAATCAACAAATATTATTCACTATTATTAGACATTGAACTATGACATCAGAGAAGTAAATTGAGCATAATTTTATTTATTTATCTATTTGTTTGTTTGCTTAAGGGAGAGCGGTGGGGCTGTTCTTCCTGAGGCTGATAGCTGGGAGATGACTCTCTTTCTTCCCACTTCTCTTTACAGCTTTGAGAGCACTGTGGGCCAGGGCTCAGAAACATACATGTACGTGTTCAGGGTGTGCCGGGAAGCTGGCAACCACACCTCTGGGGCAGGCCTGGTGCAAATCAACAAAAGTAATGGGAAGGAGACAGTGGTTGGGAGACTTAACGAGACTCACATCTTCAATGGAAGTAAGACTCCCCCTGTTGATAAATTGATCCCAAGTCAATCCCTCTGACAATCCTGTGTCTTGGCCTTTCCCAGTTTCTTCACTATGTCATGTATGGCTTGGCACACGTGAGACTAAACCACAGGAAGCCTGGTGCCACAGCTCCTCTGGAGCCACAGCTTGGGACATTTATGCATTTAAAGTTAGTGAAAAACTTAAAAAGAAGAATCTAGCTAGAATTCTATAGCCTAGAATCCTTTTATTCACCAAAATACTTAATGAGTTCCACACCAGGCTTAAAAATACCAACATTTCTCATCAAGTTAATCAGCGTTTGCCAGTTAAATTTAAGAGATCAGGCTTTTTCACAGTGTTCTACAAACATTTCCCCACCCACTTGTGCTATGGTGGTGATATTTCTCAAAAGTCGTATCATCATATCGCTCGAAGAGACTACGTGAGCATCTTCCCATAGCAGATAAATAACTAAATTATCCAGTGTGGCTGTTTACTCCTATAAATAATTTTTAAAAATAACGTAAAAGAGTTTGGGACTTGGGGTCATATGACTAGGTCCTGGACCCAGCTCATCCTGTCTCCTACCTAATCTTATGACTTTGAAAAATTATTTCACCTTTTTGAACTTGTTTTCTCATATGCAACATTGGAAGCAGAATCCTTACCTTATTAACTTCACATGATTATTGAATCAAATGATATTTTGCAAAAGAATTTTGAACACAGTAAATACCAAAGAAGAGAAATGCATTTCAATCTTAAAAATAATCCACTTTGAATTTATTTTTGGCTAATTTTAAATCTTAGACAGGCTTCCCTCTGCTGCCCAGCAATTGTATGGAACCTCTTCTTTTGCTTTTAGCAGGTGTTCAGAAAATGTGAATTGGTGTTAAGATATGGCTCATAATTGTTTTTGCACCATCAGTTGTCTGCCTTTAATGTGGAAAATTAAGATTATTTTCACATGGATGTCTAATTCTCAGTGGTCTTAAACAAGGGAATATACACCTTTGTAAAGAAGCAAGTTTAAGCTTGACATTTCTGGTTTATAGAGGTCATACTGATGAGTTATTTTAATTATAACCAATTTCACTGAATTCCTCAGTTCCCCTCTGCCATACTACCCCAGTCTGCCTCTGCTTTTCCCCCAGCTCCATTTTCCTTGTCCCTCCTCAGGTAATTGGATCATGCTGATCTATAAAGGGGGTGATGAATATGACAACCACTGCGGCAAGGAGCAGCGTCGTGCAGTGGTGATGATCTCCTGCAATCGACACACCCTAGCGGTGAGGCACCTTGGGCTATATGAGCCTAGAGAGGACTGACCTGCAGTGGGAGAGACTGTCCAGAGGGGACAAGATACATTGGGATGGACATGAGAACTCCAGGAGTTTAGTTTTTTCCTGTGTCAGACACGCAGCTTCCATCTTACATGGAAAAGAGGCTAGTGAACCAGGAGAAAGCAAATGTTTTTTTTGAGTTTTTTCTTTTGTTGAATAAGAATCAAAGAAAACTTGACCACACAAATGTTGTATTCTGTTCTCCCATCATCAGGATAATTTTAACCCTGTGTCTGAGGAGCGAGGCAAAGTCCAAGATTGTTTCTACCTCTTTGAGATGGATAGCAGCCTGGCCTGTTCCCCACAGATCTCCCACCTCAGTGTGGGTTCTATCTTACTTGTCACGTGAGTACTCTTTCTTTTTTTTACCCCTTTTCAGTACAGGCCTTCCTTTTTTGCTATTTTGAAAGTCAGTAACTATTTGATGGTATGTGGGCACAAATTGTACGTGTGCATATGCACGTGTATGCTGTAATTGGGGAGGACGGCTTTGTGTGAAAATCCCGACTATAAAATATATCTGACTTTGCAAGTTTAAAAAAAATGAGATTTGCTCTTTAGTTCACAATAAATATTTGCATTTGGAGGTGCTTCCCCTCCCCCCCCACTGGAGGACTGGACAGTTTTTAATACTATGCCATTAGATTATTAGAACTTTAGAGAAATGGAATCATATATCTAATGGTGCTTATTCTTGGCTGTAAGTCAGAATTACACACTATGTCACATTTTTTTCCTGAGCCTTTGCTTTTCTCACACTGACAGCACTCTAATTGGTTTTCTAAGGATGCAACCAGCCCCCTTTTTCATTTAACATCACTACACATTATTTTTCTTTTTCACAGAACATAGCTTAGGAAACAGCTAACAATGAATCTAGAAGTTAGCCTTAGTATCTAAGTTTACTGTTTCTCGGTTCTTAAGTACAGCTGTCTTTCTTCCTTCACAGGTTTGCATCGCTGGTTGCTGTCTATATCATTGGGGGGTTCCTATACCAGCGACTGGTGGTGGGAGCCAAGGGAATGGAGCAGTTTCCCCACTTAGCCTTCTGGCAGGATCTTGGCAACCTGGTAGCAGTAAGTAACTGGACAACTGGCTGAGCCTGTAGCCTGTGTGCAAGGTGGGGTGACAAACCAAACTGGTCTGCTCAGACTGAGGTTTCCTCAGATACAGGACGCTGGGTACTAAAACCACAAAAGTCCCAGCAAACCAAGATAGTTGATTGCCCTATTTCCCCAAGATGGAATTTAGTCTAATCCTTGGAAATTTGAGGTTTTCTCTTCTTTATCCCTGGAGAAAACCAGTTTTTGCCACATTCCTATAGACCACAAATATACTTTGTCTTACCCTAAAGTTGGATATTCCAGATTATCATTTCGTTTCTTTTGCTTTTTTTCCCTACAGGATGGCTGTGACTTTGTGTGCCGTTCTAAACCCCGAAATGTACCTGCGGCCTATCGTGGTGTGGGGGATGACCAGCTGGGGGAGGAGTCAGAAGAAAGGGATGACCATTTATTACCAATGTGATTGCACTTTAAATGTCCAGCCTCTTCTTCAGTCCCCCAAACCAAAGCATACTCAGCCAGATTTCTCAAGCAGCCTGCATTCTGGCCTCTCTTCTCACCATTACTATTGCTCTTGCTTTCCAGTTTGCTTTTGATTTGCATCCTTTTCTCACTGGCAGAACTGCATACCCTTTGTTCCCTATTTACTGTTTTTTCTCCATAAAGGTACAGTCGGAAGACAGAGATAATAGGGCCTGTGAAAATGGAGGATATTGCACTCTTGGTATGAGAAGGTACAAGTAAAACAGGTATAATGGGCAAAAGGCTGTGGCAGGCTCCCTAGCCCTTTGTTCTTTAAACACATTTTCACAAGTTTTTCAGACACTGGATTTCTTTAATTAAAAAAAAGCAAGGAAGCATTATTTATACAGGTTTGATTGCCTTCATGTTGTTACTCTGTAACCTACAGTAGTTTCATGAGAATCTGGTAATTTCTTGCTGCTTAGAACTACTTTGCAGTGATTACTTGGTTATAATCCAAGTATTCCCATTTGCTCTGAGCCTGGAGAGGTTCTAGACTTTCTTCTCACACCTCTGAGATTAGGAAAGGAAAATGTGAAATATCCCAGCTACAGGATTATAAAGTACCATCACATCACTTGTTGGCACTGGGGTGACTTTGTAGCTGGAATTGGGTCCTGGATTGTGGGCTTGTGGTTATCAGTCCACGTAGAGCCAAAATGCCTAATCCAGTCCATCGGAAAGGGACAGTGAAACTGATCTCCCTTGGTACAGAAGTTCCAGAAAACAGACGTCTGTTTACCTTGTGGTGATCTTTTTGATGGTTTTCTCCCATTTGTAGTGAAAGCTGGCAAAGCTTTTCTTACTCCCCTTTCCCTCTACCAGTATTTCTAAACATATGTTGCACTTTCTTCGCAGGCATGGTTTGGGCTTTTTGGTTTTTTTTGTTTTTTCCTCAATCTTCTGGAAAGGGAATGGAAGCAGAAGTGGGACATCTAGGGCCCTGCTCTGGGTGTGGAATGCTGCTGCCCCTGTCCCTTCTGCTGGCTCAGGGAAGTCTCTTCTTGCCCACATTTCTGTGGAGAAAGGTTTTTAATCCTCTGATGCTTCCATCTTTCTGTTTAGGCCATGTGCCCAGAAACCTGGGCTGATCTTTCTGTAATGGTGAACCCCTGGGCCACTGAAGAGTAACATGGCTCCACTGGACACAAAAGAGGGATGGAATCAATAGACAGGAGGCCTTTTATAAGCCTTTAGAAAAGAAAATGAAATTATTTCATTTTTGGACTTTTCAATACTATTGGAATGATTTTTTTCTTTCTAAACAGGGAAAACAATGTTATAAAAGCATCTTTTTTGTTATCTCTTGCATCCCTCCCCCACACCCTGGTGTTTTAAAGTGAAAAAAAAAAAACCACCACTTTTTGTACAAAACACTTAATGATTAAAAAAGAAACAAAACATGTTGGCCTAGTCATTTGTGTGAAAAAAAGAGGGCAAAGATACTGGAGTGGAGTAAGAGACAACTGAGACCAATTTTCATCCTTTTACTGAGGAAAAAAAAAATATTTAATATTTCTGTTGTATCAGGAATAGCGCCTAAGGCAGGTACTTATACTCCTGACCTCAGCCCCACACACTCCTGTTTTATAAAGCTATAGGACAGAGCAAAGTTGGAACTGAAAAGAAAAGTAGGGAAAAAGACAACATAAATCAGAAAGGAACAAGGGATGCAGAAAGAATGACAACAGCCACACGTGTGCCAGTCAAACACTTTTAGTCCCTGCAGCAAATCAGATACCAACCAAGTCTCTACACTGGCTGGGAATCCTGCCATGGATGCAGGAGAAAATATTTAATACTAAGAGTAAGTGACAACAAAGAGAAAACTCTGAGCCATAGCTACAGTGGGACAATCCAGAGGGAAGAGGGGGTACCAGATTTTGCTACTTGTGTCACACAAGCTAGAAAACCCTACCTCTCCCACTGGGGAGGCAAACCTAAATTCCACCCATTTCCTTGCCTTACCATACTGTATATTCCTCCTCTTGGAGAACTGAGACCCTGGCTACGTTCCACTCCAGGATAAGGCTGAGCAGTCCTAGTTCTCTAGACTGCTTTTTTTATAAAGACTGGATTAAGGTCGGTGGGAATGGTGAGAATCGTAAAGATTTTTAAAAATAAAGTAGAACCCAGAGAAAATGTCAAAGCTGCCACCATGTAGCACCAGCAACCAATCCTTGCATTTCTCTTCCCTGTCTCAGTAATCTCCCTACCGAAGGTTACATGACTGGGAAAGCTCTTTCTTCCCTGCAAAGTCTCTGCTGGTACCAGGTTATAACCTGGGCAGTGGAGAGTGTCTGCCTTAGGCTCGTTTATGCAAGAGGGCCACCTTAGGTCTCCTTGAGGATGTTTATCTTGGCGCAGATCTTGAGGGCAGGGCCCAGCTTGATGTTCATGGCACTCATAAGATGTTCTTCTTTAAGTAATAAAAGGGCCTGTCCATCAATCTCCTGGGAGCGAAACTCCTCTGCAATCTCTTGGCAGCCTAGAAAGAAATGGTGAGAACATGTATGAGAAACTGCATGGTAGCACCAGAGGATAAGGGGGGAACCAAAGGTGAAGAAACAGGTCTAGCAATGGTTAATCCCAAAGTACTTGTCCTAAACTCAGTAATATAAAGGTCTGAGTTGGCAAGCTTTGAAAGCAAAATGAAATTAGAATGACTAGCTATCAAAAAAAAAAAAGAGCTAAGACCAAGAAAGGAAGAAAACTAACTTGTTCAACCATAGAAATAACTTCATTCAAATAGCTTGGTGCAGGGAGAGAACAAAAATAAAAACATGTTTTTACACTGGCACAAAGATCAAAGTTAGCATTCTTTGTGAAATTTCTGTTTAAGGGTCCAGAATTCAGACAAGTAGCAAGAAGGTTAGGGTGATTTTTTTTTTTTTCCTAGAGAAATCTCTTTGTCAAGAATAGCTTATAAGGCAGGGTGCAGTGGCTCACACCTATAACCCTGGCACTCTGGAAGGCCCAGGCGGGAGGACTGCTTGAGGTCAGGAGTTCGAGACCAGCCTGAACAAGAGCAAGACCCCACCTCTACTAAAAATAGAAAAATTTAGGTAGGTGTGATAACAGTAGTACCAGCTACTCAGAAGGCTGAGATAGGAGGATTGCTTGAGCCCAGGAGTTTGAGGTTGCAGTGAGCTACAATGAGGCCACTGCACTCTAGCCTGGGTGACAGAATGAGATCCTGTCTCAAAAAAAAAGAATAGCTTATAAACAGTCCTGCCTTTAAGGGAGTCGGGCAACAATGGCCTTTTAGCTTTTGATCCTCTTCTTCATTGAAAAAAATCTTTTATCCATGGTGGGTATCACAGTTAATCACACATAAAAATATATTTTATCTAAAACTTATCGGTGGGAAATATAGCTGAATCATGATAAGAAATGAAAATCACACACTTAAAAGTTGCTAACATGGTAGAAGACAACGTCAACCCTGAAAGAAATTAAGAAGTCACGTCAGGCTGTGGGCAAGCAATCTGAATAAATATCAAGAACAAGAGCCTCTGTACTGCCACACTCAAGCACCTGCAGCTTAAAAGTCAATTACGTCAGTTATGTAACCTCCTACAAAGGCCCTTTTTGGATGACCTCAGGAAAACAACCTCAGTTCTGCTGGAGATCCTCAGTACCTTGGAGAGAAGCGATAAACTCATACACCTCCTCTACACTCCAACGGCTGGGATTACTGGACAGGAACACGGGATTGATGCCATGCAATTCCGGTGTAGATGGAGCTATATTGGGGTTCCCCAGATCACGTTCTCCATGCCCAGCTCTTACTGATAAAGGCCCGGGAGATGTTGGGGAGAGTGCTTCATCATAACTGGAATTATCTGAACCCCGGCTAGAGTCCTCTTGACCCTGCAGAAAAAACAGCAAACCAGTGAGGTCAGAATAATGGTGCTATGAGCTCCCATCTACTCTCCCCAAGCACCCCAGGTTGGGCATAGAGGAAAAACTCATCACATGTGAAATCATCTGTGCTTCGTTTGCAAATGCCCAAAGTCTACTTTCAAGTACCTTTCCAGTATAAACTGTATCGATTTGGCCAGGCATGGTGGCTCATGCCTATAATCTTAGCATTCTGGGATGCCGAGGCGGGAGGATCACTTGAGCTCAGGAGTTTGAGACCAGCCTGAGCAAGAGTGAGACCCCGTCTCTACTAAAAATAGAAAAATTAGCTGGGTGTCGTGGCACACTCCTGTAGTCCCAGCTACTTGGGAGGTTGAGGCAGGAGGATTGCTTAAGCCTAGGAGTTTGAGGTTGCTGTGAGCTAGGCTGACACCATGGCACTCTAGCCTGGGCAACGGAGTGAGACTCTTGTCTCAAAAAAATAAAAAAATAAACTGTATCAATTCCTTGATTGTCCCCTTGTCCTAACAATTGATCTAGATCTTCACTACTCAAGTACAGTGTGAGGATTAACAGATACGTGAACCAGGAGTCAGGTGAGAGGAGACAAAGGAGGTCAGGATCTCTTGCAACTAGGAGTAATATAATCAACATAAAACCGGAGTTCTGGGCCTCTGGAGAGGTAAAACACATCTCCGTGAGCCTTTTACCTAGGCAAAGGAACTGCCCTGTAGGGGAAGAAAAAAGGCCTGTTTTAAAGGTAGCGGGGTCTGCAACAGCAGCTAACCCGGTGGCGTTTGCCCTGAATCTTAGCGCGGGCAATGTCAGAGGAGCTGCGGCGGGGTCCACGCCTGCGAACACGAGTATAGTTGGCTTCTTGAAACTCTTTCATTTTTTTCCTCTTCAGCCGGAACTGATGGCTACAGCTCACATTGTACCTACAGGACAAGACATATACAGGATGTCAAAGGTATATAGAACTGCAGTCCCCAACCCCCAGACCCCAGTAGCAGTCCGTGGCCTGTTAGGAACCAGGCCGCACAGCAGGTGAGCGGCGGGCGAGCAAAGCTTCGTCTGTATTTATAGCTGCTCCCCATAGCTCGCATCCTGCCAGATCAGCAGCAGCATTAGATTTTGCGTTATGGTGAGTTGCATAATTATTTACATTATATATTACAATGTAATAATAATAGAAATAAAGTGCACAATAAATGTAATGTGCTTGAATCATCCTGAAACCATCCCCCCAACACTGCCCCCTGTCCGTGGAAAAATTGTCTTCCGTGAAACTGGTCCCAATAACCAAAAATGTTGGGGACGGCTGCTATAGAAGACTACCTTGCTACCTTGCCTTAAATGTGAATTTGGTATTTTATGAGCTGATTTGCGGAAGGGAATAAAAGCAAAGTGGGAAACATAAAATATCAGAGATGATCCTGGGGGAGGGAGGTATCATTAGATGGAGAAATCAGTGCTAAGGGCAAGGAGGAAGGTGCCTAGAGTACCTCTTAGCGCAAGTCATGGAGCAGAACCTCTTCGAGCCACGGAACTGCTCTGCAGGGGCGTACTTCCCACAGTACTCGCACTTCAAGAGATTCGCCTTCTTATCTAACTCTGAAAAACAAGGCATCACTGGACGGTCACCATGGGTTTCTGCTACCTCCTCGGGCTGTCATTAGGGCCCAGAGCTGGTTCTAATTATTCTCAGGATTTGCTCCCAAAGACCTACACAGCCTAACTAAGAATCCCTAAAAAATTTCAAAAATCCAAAACTATGAAACTTGTCCCTCGAGAACATTCTGAAGTCTTTAAAGTCTTCCTAACCTTAAGCCAAACTATTTCCATTTAAGATGTCTTACTAATTTTATCCTAATTCATACTCTCAGATTTCAGATATGATTCCATTTCTGAACAGGAGAGAGGAACTAATTACTAATGCCTAGAAAGACATAAGATCCCTCTCCCACAAAGACTTCCAAAAGCAAGGGGGAAATGTAAATAAGAGTCCTTAATATAGATTATAAAATATAGAATAAAGAGAACTGAAAATTAAGAATATAAACGTCCTATTTTAGATCATCTTTTGAAAAATATATCCTTATAGGAAAGAATAATTCAACAGATTATTTTAGCTTGATAAAATTCTCCTAATCCTGCCAGGCACGGTGGTAAGCGCCTGTAGTCCCAGCTACTGGGGAGGCTCAGGTGGGAGGATCCCCTGAGACCAGGAACTGGAGGCTGCAGTGAGCTCTAATGATGCCACTGCACTCCAGTCTGGGTGACAGAAACAAGACCCTATCTGTAAAAATAAATTTTTTAAAAAAGGAAAATTCCTCTAATCCTATATAACTTCTTTTGTGTGATTCTACATACTCTGATATATAATATGGTTTCTGTGTGTAGATGGACTCCATATTATTCCTACTTTAAATATACAGGAAATTACTATTTTACACTGAGTCCTCAAACACATCCCCATGAGCCTCCTTCCCCCAGATGGGTCTCTAAATAAATACTCACCAGCAGATGGGCTGTCCCCT